AAGGAGAATGCTGAGGCTGCCGAAAAGGAGGCCAATGCATCAAGCAGTGCCAACTCCGATAAGAAAGCCCAGCAGGCCCGCCGCAAAGCTATCCGAGATGGCCTGGACATGCCTGTGTATTCGTTTGTGGATATCGACTTCTACTGGAGTCGCAACGGCATGGGTGTGAAACTTCGCAACTGTGCGAATGTGGAGGAACAGGGAAAGCAAGCCACCCGGATGTACGAGGATTAAGCTCTCTCTCCCTCTCTGTCTATATATATATATATACATACATACATATATATTTACACACATACATATATATACAAAACTACACATGTACATGTATATATATATATATATATGTCTATGTCACAACTATACATTACGTGGCTCAAACCGTACGCAAACGCTGTCCTTGCAAATCATGTTGTAAGATCTCGGTTATCACACACACATGTATACACATATGTACGTGAGAGAGAGAGAGAGAGAGAGAGAGAGAGAGAGAGAGAGAGACAGAGAGAGAGAGAGAGAGAGAGAGAGACAGTGTGTGTGTGTGACGAAACATGTCCTGTTCCAAATATTGGTCTGAGACGGCAGGGCTGTGTAGGATTGGAGTGTGACTCTATACTATAGGGGTCAGGGTCAGGGTTTTGGGGGTTGAGGGTTTATGGTGAGGTTGTGATGCGGTACCGTGCATGGACCCTATATATTCTCTAAATCCTACATAACCTCTGCAATCAATGAGCCCATCGCCAACCCGAGCCGAGGTTCTCTACTTGGGCTACAAAGGTGTTGCCGAGCACACTGCGATGATCACGATGTGGAAGTTTGCAAGACCAGCAGCTGTTTGTCTACAAATTAAACCATTCATTCCCACCATCCTTAGAGATTCAATTCACAAAATCCCCTGCCTCTCTGAGGCTGATCTCGTTGAAAAGGCAAAGGGCCACCTGACGCCAGCACTCGTGGAGAAGCTGGCAACGATTAAGGAGGACTTTGCAAACAGGTCCGAGGTCTAGTGAGTCGAGTGAGCCTGGCGAACGGTTCCGATACCAATGGTGCTTGTGTGCATGGTGCTGAAGCTTTTATTCAAAGCTGTTCTTCAAAGGATGCAGTTGTGATTCCAGCTGCTACAATATGCCAAAGGCAATGCAGCAATCATGAAATTCAGTATGCATCAGAGCACAGCTCTTCAGTTTCAACGAGCAACGGAGGGCAGCCTGAAACAATTCTCAGAACTGCTTTTGCACAGCCTTGTGACCTGAAGCTGCAAGCTTGAAGATTGCCTTTCGTCCTTGATGATCCCCTTACCAAAATATGGATGCATTTGTCTCCCAGGTCCACACGATGCCCTTCCTCATGCACGCCGTGAAGTTCGGCCAGAACAAAAGAGATGGTGCGCCCCCTCCCGCCTGTGCAGTAAGGTTTTGATCAAGCCATGTACCCAGGAAGCCACTGAAGCACCGAAAAGCCCGACAATAGAAACCCTCGAAGCCCCATGTGTGCAGCCTTCCGAAACCGTGTTCGCGAGTTTCGTCCGGCTCAGGCTAATTGAGATGCAGGTTTCGCCGTTTGAGCACAAGCATCGCCAGAAGCATAGCCTACACGCACATTCTGTGTAAAAGTAACAAATCCTGTCTCTAAACCCTTAACACCGGAACTGGTTCTAAAGCCTTTTATGTAAGCCCTTTCAGACCCATAGATAATTTTGTAGAAGCCCCGTGTATAACCCCCCCTCTATATATATATATATATATATATATATATATATATATATATACCTATATACACACTAGAAGCTGCCCCCACCCTGTAAGAGTGGTATAATAGGAATATAATAGGGCCCTAATATAATCCTATATAACCCTTATGGTCACTATTACAGGGTGGTGGCAGCTTCTAATATATACACATATATATATAAGCCCTATGCAATCCATTCCGGCTGATACAAACCCTGTAGACCATGAAGAATAACAAACCCCAGCTTCGTGGGGTGCTCACTTTGAAAGCTTAAGTCCCGAGACCTCCCACTGCCTTCAAGATGGTCCAGCCGTCAGAGATGGATGCAGTGGTCGCCAGGCTCATCCGATTGGGCTCGCCGAAGGATCCTCGGCTCCACAAGTTCATGTGCTCAGAGTCCCCAGATCTATGCTTTCGAGGCATTCGTCATGTTGGTCCTGTTGTGCTCCTGGCTGAACTTTGCTCAACTCGGCCACAAGTCATACGACTTGGTGGAAGCTTTTGCTGGGCGTGCAGAGTTATCACGATCGTGTCGCAAGTGCAACATACATGCAGCAGCTGCTGACCTTTCCTATGATACCCACGCATTCAGAAAAGGGGGGATGGATTTAACAACACCCTCAGGCTTTGTGTCTCTTGCCAGCAGTCAATGCGACAACATGATGAGTGAGACAAGGTTTTTGCTGACGGTCCAAACCGATCGGTGTATTCAGAATTGTACCCACAACCGAGGCTGCTGGTTCTTCTTGTACTCAGACTACGCCTTGATTCATCCATGGCATTCTTCGCCATATGTTGCTCTTCCTTTGTGACAATTTCCCGAAGTACCACGGGCAGGTCGATTCTACTACCCCTGGGGAATACGGCATTTGCGAAGGTCAGGACAGCCAACCTTCTCGCTAGCAGGCATTGCTTTGAAAACCTTGTTATGTAAACGATCTGTTGAGTTGCTTTGTGAGGGGATGCCTCTGTTTTGTGGGTTTTGGGTGTTTCGGGAACTTGCTGTTGTGTGGATTCTAGATAGGCTCTCGTGCTGATCAGGGATTTGGATTCTTCATGTTTTCGATCAATCCTTATCTACGACCTTGGCTTGGGGTTGGGGGCTTCAGGGGTTGGGGAGATGCTTTGTTGCAGTCTGGCTGCATCAATTACCAGCCCAACCGCAGTCTTTCAGGCTTGATTAGAAAGGATTAAAGGGTTTATAGGGGTTTTGGGGTTCAAGGTTTCAATACCGACCAATCAAGGGTATACAGCGACATAACTTAGCCCCTGCTTAAGCACCCATCTCTTCCATGCTCCCTGACGCGAGACTTAGCATGATTGAGCCCTTGCTTCAGCACCCACCCCTGCTTTGCCTCAACCCTCGGACTAGACAAAACCCCCAACCTACTCCGTAATGTAGCGCGCGATAACACTACAATCGCGACAAAACCAGTGGATGTGCTTATACTTCTTAGCACCAATTAACGAATCGCCAAGGAATGCTACTCGTTCCTGTGTGTATACATGTCTGTAGTACCTTTAGTCCATATTTGCAAAAAAACAAAGCATGTTCAAACCGTAAATCCCCTGCAGACTGGCTCTGCTGCTGCAGCTCGCCGTGGCCGTCGGTGCCACATGGGTGGTGGAGCAGCCTCGAGGAAGCTTGCTCTTCGAGCATGACCGACTTTCAGAGTTGGTGGAAAGTTGGATGGGGAGGGTCAACGAAACCAGGCTTTTCAAGATTCTGGCTGATCTGTTTTGCACAGTGGCTGGAAATGTGTGGTACTGTAGCTGTGCAGCTGCTGATAAACGCATTGCCCTCCAAGGTATTCAAGCAATCTTTCTGGATGATGCACTTCAAGGCTCCGTCTCCTAAAAGGACATTCCTATGGAGCAACTCCTCTTCGATACGACGTTTCGACTATGGCAAGTTAACACGTGCTCAAATGCAGCGACAAACACGGTTGAAGACTGTTGTTCGTGGGCCGACGAAGAGGGGGCGGGCTGGGTTTACAGGGACTCGATCCTTGAAGTCGACACAGCAGCATCCTCAATTGCTTCGTTGTGAAGATGTATGTCTAAACATGGCTGTAATACTGTAGAGCTATAGCATCCTGTTCGAAGAAACACTGCACTTGAGGACGTACACATTCCATTTTGCCCGCAAAGTGATCCAGACTATGCCTTCGTTGACCGACCCCAACACCAAATCTGAACCCCCTGCGACTCTTCTGCATTTCTGTGTTGCAGGAACAAGTATATAGCCCCTTTGTAGCTCCTTGCTGCCGAGACAATTGCCGGCCTGAACATCATGGAGGAGTTCGGGAGCATGCCGCTGGGTGACCTCTGGCACGATGCAAAGTTAGTGGATGCCATCTACTATGTGAGGGGTAGCAAGTCTTTGAGAATCCCAAATGAAGAATGGCGACGTGTGTTGCCAACCCTGCTCTGAAACAAACTGTTGCCATGGTCGGTTACTGGAGTTAGACTGTACACCTAACAGCTACAGATTCAGGTTTGGCATGCACACCATGGGGCAATCGATGAAGACTCTTAGATGGGTTCTTATTGTTCTCGAAAGGGAGTAGTCGGGGCTGGGCTCGGGGTTCGGCAGGCTGCTAAAGCTCTATCGATGAGTTTGGGGGCTGTAGTTGTGTGTGTGGGGTGTGGGTGTGTTCGGTTCTGTTCGTTTCTCTTCGGTTCGGTTCGGGTTCACCCCGGGACACCGCAACCCGTACACGCCTGTAGTACCGACAAAACAACCCGTACACAGCTGCACCCGTACATAGGCCGGATTCTCCCAACAAAAGGCCGAAAATAAGCGTGCACCGTGCTCGGGCGTACACGCCCGTACACGCCCGTACACGCCCCTACGTGCCTGTATGCTTTGTAAACGCCCCTTACACTCTTTGGTGGTACCCCGCAGCCAATTCTGTGTACTCCCCACACAAAGTGCCCCAGAAACCCAGTATTGTAGCCATGCCTAGTTCAACGCTGGCCGTGGTTGTTTTAGACGATCTAGCTAGCATCCCAGCTCGTGCCTTTGTAGTGGTAAATGCAAGTGTTCTGTCGTGCTCCAGCGATCAGCAGCCTTGCACAACCCTCCAGACTGTGCTATGTGATGTGTCGATAAGGAAGTTCCTGCAATCCTTGAATTTTATGTTCAAAACCCAATGCTAGATTTGGAAAAGCTATATACACTGCACCCAATAGAGATGTATAAACCCGATAATTATTTCTCATATTTGGTACAAGAGTTACTAGTACTCCGTAGCAAAGATCCCACCATGGCAAAACGACTTCGGAGCTTGGGTTCGTGTCTCTGGGAGACAGACGAAGAGGTCACGTTCGAGGATTGGCTGGCCTCGCAACCGGCTGCTTGTTGCTGTGGCAAGGATGCGCAGATAAGGAGTCTTCAGCAGGAGATTGAAAATCTACGTGCCCTTGCCCAAGACCTGCATATCCGATTGAAAGTGGCATCCCTTCCTGCAGTGCCTTCCAATGAGCTCACAGTGAAGAAGCCCGGTATGTCCCGAAAACAAAACCGCGACCCTTGGCACTGGCTTACTCTGCTGCCTGAGACGGTTACAGGTTTGCCTAGAATGCTGGATGACATCATACCATCTCTTCGAAGCACGTCCTTCGCCAACAGCCGTGTGGTCTTCGACCTATGTGGGGCTACTGTACCCTCTGCTATCCTGGACCACTGCGAGATCTCCATAAACTCCGTATTTGGCAAATACCCTGCCATATACAAGATAGGCATAACTCGCAACCCAGTCGAACGTTGGCAGATCGGATATGTCAAAGACACCACCCAAGCCTGGTCAGAAATGAAGGTCCTGGTAGCTCTGAGGGATCCAGTCGCTGTGGGATTCGTAGAAGCCGCCCTTATCCGCCGTTACCAGGGCAGTCCGGGTAATATGAACATCAGAAGGGGAGGGGAAGGGGTTGACCTTTCAGGTGCTGGGCCCTTTTTTGCATATGTGGTTTATCGTTGCCTTGTCCCACCGAAGTGTGCTTTGGCCAAAAGGACATAGCTGTGCTTCCCAATGTTAGGAAATAGTGTGTCTTGCAAGGTATGGCTGTCACTTTATAAATACAGAGCCGTGGCGAAGCTTCTTTGGTGGCTTAAATGCTAGCAACGGTACCTGTCACAATGACTGGTGTGCGCTTGCTCACACCGGCTTCGGGGCCTGCTGAAATCGTTTGTAAGTTGCATGCACTCTGCAAGGCTATTTGACTGAGTCCATATGCACACGGATTGGTGTTATCCCTGAATCCAATTGTTATTATCCGTTCATCTGCAGGAGGCCCCGGTAATTATTTTGCCCTAGGTACTACTGAGTGCCGATTTGGGCTTCTGAGTGCAGCATGGATTATCGTTGCACCGAATCCAGCATGAGAGAAGTTTAGTGGGCCAGCTGTGTCAGCTTGCGATGAACTAATATACCACATGCATAGCCGGCATAGTCTTGACTTGCCTCACATGCAGCTGCTGAGTCATGCCCCGTGCCTGATATTGCCTGGGATCCTCAAGGATTTTTCGTGCCTAGCTGCTTTAGCAAGGGGGCCTTTCGAGGCTCGTCTGATCATGTCGGAGGCCCCACCTGAGACGAGACACCTTGTGTCGAAGTCTTTCAGCACGGCCACTTTGCAGGAAGCGCTTTCCTTGGTGGACCAGCAGCAGGTCAAGGACGAGCAGATTGATGCTGATATCAAGGTGGGCACATTGAGAGGGTGTTCTATTCGGTTCTTTCGGTATCTTGAAGATCGTTGCCGAATCTATTGGGTCTGAGAGTGTGGTAGTACAGGGTTCTTTGTGTGGGATGATCGATGCTTGCATGGAGTGTGCTGCTTCGGCTTGAAACTCATGCAGGGGATTGCTTAGAGCCAGTTGTTTTTTGAACTAGAGGTTAAACTAATGAACAATTAAGTGCAAAATGAACCATTGCATATAAACAATAATGCACATACACTCATATACATTATATATATATACATATATATATACACATGGTCATCCCACCCAAAGCTCGATGTAGAGCTTTAGCACTGCCTGGCTTCCTGAACACCCAGACCGGTACGGTTACCTACACAGTCTATTCTACAACTTATACACGTTGTCTTACATGTTACGTAGACAAATAATGAGGCCTCATAAGTGTACATATGTATATATTGTATGTGTATATAAATACAGTCTAAAGGACTCCAAGACAAAACCCTGGCTTTGAGTGTTGATGTTTTGGCTTGTACAGGGTATGCATAGGAGGTGGTACGGGGCCTAGAGGAAGTGTAAGTAAGGTGTCCCGACTATAAACAAACCCTCCTTTGAACCCCTATAAAGGCCCCATGCAAGCCGACTATAAACAAACCCTCCTTTGAACCCCTATAAAGGCCCCATGCAAGCCCTAAGAAAATCTCGAGGACAAACCAGCAATTCCCAGGTGGTGTAGGGTTTGATGTAGGGTTTGCATGTGGTCTAAGGTTTCTACAGGTGTGGATTCCATACTAATTATATGCTTGAAGTAGTCCTACCCGACCAATCCCGGCCCTAACTTGTCGACCTAAGGCCCAATTACTCCCTGAAATCCACAGTGACTGGCAGGCCCTCGAGGCTGAAATCGAGCGCGAGGAGCTCAATGCGAAGCGTGGCACGAGGTGCACGCCGGTGGCTGGGGCCACTCCTTCACCTCAGCCCACACTTAAGAAGCACAGGGCACAGATGGACTCCGGGGACCTGGATTGTGTGCTGTTGGAGAATGATGATGTGCTGCTCACAGCACTAAAGGATCAGCTCGGCAGCCCCTCCCCAGGCCCAGAAACCAAGCAGATGATGGACCCTATCCTAGAGGATGGATATGACATGGATGTCTCGCCTGCACAGCTCTTCCTGAGTCCTTACAAGCCCGAGACTCCGACTCCGTCGAAGACAACCTCGAAGACTCCATCGAAGACTCCTGGTCCCTCGAAGACTCCCTCGAAGACTCCTGGTCCCTCGAAGACTCCCTATGATCCCGTGGCAGATGCCGAAACCCAGCCTGGAATCACCCCAAAGCGGCACATCCACTTCATGGACACCATGGTGACGTCTCCTTGCCCACCGACCGAGATGGACCCCTATGATGGCCATGTAGCAACCTTTCCGAATTTAGATAGCCTGTCACGAACTAGCAACCCAAAGCCGAGTCACTACATCACCAAATCCAAAGCCCACGATCCCAGGTTGCATCGCCGCCGGTTGCAGTGGATCCTGGGATGGCTTCAAGTGCTACAGGCCTTCCGAAGCCTTCGGGAACTTCCATGGTTCACTCACAAGAGACCCCGGGGATCCTTTCCCTCCAGCAGAAGTTCGAGGCCTTAGGGTTACAGCTCGATTCGGAGGAGGGTGCAGTGGTGAAAGCTGCAGGGCAGATGGCAGAGGGCAATGGCAGCACCGGTGGTTCAAGTGAGACTTCCAAAGATGCTGAGATTGCCCAGCTGAAGCAAATGCTGTTCATGATGAATGCCAAGCTTCATGCTGATCATGGCCCCAAGGCTCAGATTCAGCGTGAAGCTGAGAAGGAAGCGGCACGTGAAGCTGCACGTGAAGCTGCTCGTGAAGCTGCACGTGAAGCTATGCAGTCTGCCGCTGAGGGGCAGATGGCTGCCAACGGAGCAGCCAAGGCCGAGCAGGAGGACCAGGTCGCCCTGCCAGCAGCGAGGCAACGATTGAGGAGGCTTTGTGCCCCTCGTGCTAACGGCACGTATGCTGTTCCGAAAGAGGTGGTTGACAAATACGTGGCTGGTGGCAACGAGCGCGAGGGCCTTCTCAAGTTGCTGGTCAAACACAACTTCCAAAAGGATTCTCACGGTGCATGCTATAGCTGTTGAACCTAGTTGTTGGTCATTTCCGATCTTTGTGCTTCAGTTCTTTGTTTGCTGAATGATACATAGAATCATCTGTATGTACAGGAGAGCTTCATCAAGGAGGTTGTTGTGCTGACCCAGAAAGAGAAGGCCGTATCGTTGGAGATTACCGGGGATTACTATACGGAGCAAGAGATGAAGGACATGAATGTGCCTGAGCCACTTGTTGTTGAGTCATTAAGTTTAGGGGGCTTGGGCTGTTTGTTGCCTTAATCTGACAGACTTGACAAGACCGACTGTAGACCTTCCGAAATCTAAGGGAACGCATCCGTGACATCATCGCCTTTGGCGATGCCAATCCACAAAGCTTCAGACGTGCCCCACAGCATGCAATAGATAATGTCTATAGAACCCTAGCCCTAGCTAGCTTCAACAAACCCCAACAACTAAAGTCCCACTTCATCCCAGGCTGACACCTACAACAAGAAAAAGCCGATGAAGTATTGGATGGAAACCAAATGCTCGGCTAGCATGCGGCAGTCGCAACTTGTTAGGGAGTCCGAGACGGTATCCTTCGAGCAAGAGGTCGGTGGCGAAGGCAACGAAGTGGAGCTGGGCAAAGATGTCACCTTCGATCTTTCGGGCTTCGATGCCACCATGGGTGACCAAAAGGTCGTGGGTGGAGGATGCTAAGCAGTACCGGCATTGTCAGGGTTGCATCATCATATGTTACTATATCTCTGCCTGGGCCTTTCCTAAGGAGCTCCGGGTCCTGACGATGATCTTGGGTTGCCTTCGATTGAAGGCAAGCGACCCCAGGATCTTGCCAACACCTACAAGAATGCTATCCAGGTTCGGTCCACCAAGATCGCCGAGGCTTTGGGCCGTTTGGAAGCCACCCCTGTTTCCGAGCGCAATAACAACATCAATTCGTGCCCCGCCTTAGATGGTTACAAATATATGGTGGGTTTCATTTGATCTTTCACTCCTCCGCATTATATACTAGAACCACCTAAGGATTTTCCGAGCCCGAACCCAAACCCTGCCATTGAACACTATACCAAGCCACACACTACCCCGAGCAAACCCGAACCCGGTCAAATGTACCCAATCCAATGTGAAGACTCAAAGCCTTCATGCGCACAGTGTGTGTTGACCCCTAACCGCGACAGTTAACATCATCTCAGTCATATCCCAAAACCAGATAAAGACTTTTCGATCAATGCTAAACCCCCTTATGTGGCAGACTTATGTGTATGTATGTCTGTGTGACCCCAGCATTATATAAACCCTTAAACTTATATCTCAGCTCCGAATCACCAATGCATACAAAAATAACCGGTGATCCCAATCAAGACCAATAGCAAACCGCCAAATCGTAAATGTGTCATATGGTTACTGAGGCCTTGAATCAACCCTCGAATCCCGACCCGAGCTGCTGCATCATCTATGCGAAGCCGAGGCTGATTGAGAAGCTGCAGAACTCCATCAAGAAGTTTGATGAATGCTACGACAAGATCGATGAAACCTACTGCGATGGTGCAGTGGAAGGATACACAACTGCAATGTTGCTAGGCAAAATTATCAATGTTGAACTCACACTTGCAGCTCATGTTCATACGAGCTCCTGGTGCTACGGCTTCTGGGGTTCTTGATTAGTTCTGGACTTCATGTGTGCTCAGTACGTGAACAGCATGCACTGGTACACACAAACACACACACACACACACGCACAACTAGAGATGCATGTGCTCCGAGGCTGGACAGCCTCAAGGACTTCTACAAGAAGGCCAAGCGCACGCAACGTGGCTCAATCCGGTACTTTGCTATGTGCGAGTATTTCTGTGCTGAGTGCTGTGTACCATTCTAGTGGGCTGTATATACTTTCACTATACGTACATCCGAGGGCCCTCGAGAGTGTGAGTCTTGCCCTCCAGATCCATGCCTGTAAATACTGCATACGTGGCCATGTCATTGTCTCAGGGGTGCGCGGGGCATGACAGCGATTTTCGCTGTCATTTGCGTCAGGAGGCTGTTTAACATAATGTATGAACGTACTTGTATATGTGTATATACATACCATATACCAACATGAACCTATAAATCTATATAGATATATGCATTTAAGAATGCTACAATATTACTAGTAGTAATAGTATATTCGTCTTAGTCTTAGTACTAGTACTATAGTACTAGTACTAGTACTAGTACTACTAGTACTAGTACTAGTACTAGTACTAGTACTAGTACTAGTACTGGTACTGGTACTGGTACTAGTACTAGTACTAGTACCAGTACTAGCACTAGCACTAGCACTAGCATTAGTACTAGTACTAGTACTAGTACTAGTATTAGTATTAGTATTAGTATTAGTATTAGTATTAGTATTAGCATTAGTATTAGTATATAGTGTATAGTGTGTATTATAGTATAGTAATATTTAGTCGAAGTATAATACCAACATTATTTACATAAAGTGTAAATGAAGTAGAAACACAGTAAAAGGTATAATTTTACTACCCCGGTATTAGTAACAATACAAGCAAAAGTAGCAGCAGTAGTAGTTGTAGTAGTAGTAGTAGTAGTAGTAGTAATAGCAGTACTAGTACTAGTACTAGTACTGGTAACAGTAGCATTGGTAGGAATAGTAGTAATAGTAATAGTGATGGTAATAGTAATGGCACTAGTAATAGTAATAGTAAGGGCAATAGTAATAGTGATAGTAATCGCAAGAGTAGTAATAGTAATAGAAATAGAAATAGCAATGGTAGTATTAACAGTAATAGGATACTAGTTGTAATAGTAATGGATAGTAATAGTACTAGTAATAGTATGAGTAATGGTAATAGTAGCAGTAATAGTACGAGTAATAGTAGTTGTAATTACAATAGTACTAGTAGTAATGCTAGTTATGGTAACCGTAATGGCAATATTAGTATTTATCGTAATGTAGCAATAGTAATAGTACAAGTAACAGTAATCAGTAATCGTGATCGTATTAGTAATAGCATGTATACTAGTAGCGATGGTAACAGGAATAGTAACAGTCGTAATATTAGCAATAGTAGCAGTAGTGGCAACAATAGTAGTAGCAGTAGTAGTAGCAATAGCATGACAGCGACAGCAATCGTAATGGTTGTGCTCGAAATCCATGTATGCACGCATTGCTAAGATACATCTGCTTGTTCTTGGGGCGTAGCCCAGCTTATGATCGCAGAAATGGTTGTCATTCTGGAAACAACTGTTTCCGCAACATGGAGTTCTCGAAAGTATAAAAAATGAACACAGTCAGCTAAATGGTATGCACACAGAATGTAACAGTCTGTGAAATTAAGCGGCCGATCTATGCTGGCAAAGTACTTTTGAAACTGGGCAGCCGCATGAACCTATGATACTATACCCAAAAGCTCTCTGAAGCGAGACCCTTGAAACTACAACTTGATCCTGCCCCCGGGGCCCGATAGCTTTAAACCAGGATTGCTGAAAGCCACGGAGCCGCAGGTTCATGAGATTGTGGGCATGTTCGCAGTTAGGAGTTTTTCTTTCCCGTGACATTCATTAATTCACAGCACAAGCCGCAGAAGCTCCCGATCCTTAAACCGCTCGTCAAAACGCGGGGGCTAAAATTTGAGAGTTCAGAATTCGGGAAATGCAGGACAGCTCGTTAACGGAATCAAAAGCATCCTTCAGCGTCACGGCACCGCATGGCTCTCCACTAAAATACTAAATTGACTAGATTGACTAGGTCTATCAAACAGAGTAATGTGTTGTGAGGTTTCCTGTGCTATGGTAGCACAATGCAGTGCAGTTAGCAGCCGGGAAACTTGAGATTGCATGGACTAGAGCTGGGCTGTTCGATGCGCAAGTGAACATAAAGTAGTATAACATCTACCTTTTGGCACTCGCTCTCGGCAGGCAGGCGAGGTTTACATACAAAAGTTCATCGATACATACATGGGGATCTATTGCTGGGACCGCAAGTGCACAGTGCACAGAATACATTCTCAACCTGTAGTCAACTTGATATCGATATCAATGCACTTGCTCGCGTAGTCTGGGGTTTTAGCCGAGCGCATGTCATGCACATACGGGGTGCGTGAAAATTTGGGGAGGACGAGGGTGGGGGGGGGGGCGGGGTGGCCGGGGTTAACCGTACCTCCTAAATTTCACTCAAAAAAACCACCGACACCTAGAAAAAACAACATATCCTGGACTCCCATTTTCGACACAAACATAAACAGCCGCACTGGAAATCATACCCTACGTCGGTATCGGTTTTAGTGACAAATCGTGGAATAGATGAAATTTCTGTATCCCCCTACAGACAACATACATAAGATACATGCATGTATATGTATGCAAAGTATGAACATATATGTGTGAATCGGTATAATATATAAATATATATATATATATGTGTATATATATATGTACACACATGAATATGCTAGACGCTTGTAGGCCCATTGATCCAGCTGCCGTTCGCGTCATAGAACAATTGCCTCGTTGACACCTACACACATACGTCGCATTCCCATCAGATGTCCCAAGAGCCTTGCAACCCGAGAACAGGCAGGAACAAAACACACGAAGATGAGCTCAACATGCAACCTGTCCCGTGATGGAACATCGAGCGTCTCAGATCCCATGGGAAACTTTTCGGAATCTTCTATGTTCTATGGCTAAACGCGGCAAACTCAAAAGTGAGACGTAGCTATGTTCATATAGTGGTTATTAAGTTTGCCTGGTTGGTCTGAAATCTTGATTGTTTCGTGGACGAGTGGCATTGGCTCGCGCCCTACACGCGTGGACCCTATGCCCTATGCCCAGGTTCTCTTCAGTTCGACGTGTAGCGAATTGTTCACAACGGGGGATTGCACCAAGGCTGTGGGTTACACAGAACGCTGGTTTCAGTAATGTAAGTAAAGGTGGTGTGGATTGCGACTTATCGGTTTATAAGCAAAGGCTGTGAGGTAAACAATTCGGAGATTTCATTGCTGCCGTGCACAAGCATCCCTTGAAGG